CGCCGCTGCCCGCACTTTCGGTTCCTTCCGCGCTTCGCATAGCTCCTCCTCCGTGCCGGGGCGGGGAGCTGCGCAGATCCCGCTCCCAACCCCGGTCACCCCCCTAAAAGAGCTTCCCAGCTGGGTCAGCCCTTCCAGACCATCCCAGAGGGAAGAAACCCGGGGGTAACCCCGAGACCCCCCGAAAAGAGGCATTTTCCCAAGGAACGGCATCGCCCTGGGAATGTATCGCAGGGTCCTAGTGCCCCGCCGCACTCCGGCGGGGGGAGGCAGCAGTGCTGAAGTGCTTAACCCCCCTATTCCTCTGCACCTCAAGGTTGCGAGGGGGTCAGGGGCTGTCCCCCCACCCTTGGAGAGTATTTCCACATCCCTCTTTGTCCTGGGGGGCTGTATACTGGCTCTTCTTTGCCCCTTTCTGCGAGGCATCGGTACCCCCCAACCATCTGGACCACCACGGAGGGAGGACCACCAGGAACACTTAGGACTCACCTAGCCTGGCATCCCCAAAGGGACAGGGCATAGCAGGGCACTGCTGTCACCTCCCCTGAATGGAGGGTCTCCAAAGCTTGGCTCAGGCTGGTGCCACCCAGCCTCCACCTTTGAAGGACAAATTTAGGAGGTGGTTTGGCCTCATTGCACCCATGAAACGTTTCAGTTCTGGAAACATTTCCATCCTCCTCGCCCCTTGTTCCTGGCCTGTACAGAACAGGACACAAGACCTGTCACGCTTGTCCCACTGGTCCAGCAAAGCACCCTGGAGCTGTCAAGACATGTTAACCCTTGGGTACTGGGTGCTGCTGGGGCTGAGCATCCCGAGAGGGAGAGTATCCTGGCACGTCTTCCTCGCCGTGGTAGGACTTCATGTCTTCATCATGATCATATGGTGAGATGGACTCACCACACAGCCTCCTTGATGCCAGCACCTCTTTATCTGTGGTCCTTTGGGGAAACTGAGTCACCAAGGGGTGTGGAATTGATCAGCCGAGCACTGCCCAAGCACAAGGCTGCAGACCAGGTTTATTGTCCATCAAGAGCTGATAGGAAGGAAGCTTACAAAATAAAGAAGTATATGCCTATGAACAGCCCACGTGCCCCATGGACAGACCTCACAGCACACATGCAAAAGCACTTTGAAGCACAAATTAGAGCAATCACTTGTTCCAGACTGCTGTGTCAGGAAGGTTCGGGTACCTCCAAGGCAGGTCATTCCCAGAATCACCACCTCTGCTCCTTCCCCATGGATGCCAGCATCCCATTAGCTTTCTTCAGCCAGCTCTGGTGCACTGCTTCAGCTGCCCTTCCCTCGGCTACTGTGCTTGGTCACAGTGTCCCAGGCTCTTCTGAATCCAATCTGCTCAGTTCATGCCCCTTCCAGTCTGGCCACGCAGCCCATCATGGGGAGCACCAGGACATCAGGCTGTGCCCTGGTGGCACATGGTGGCCAAAGGACATGGATGCAAACTGGCACATGCTGGGGTGCCAACTGGTTCTCATCTCATCGTAAGCAAAGGATGGGCAGGGGAGGTAAAGCCAAGGACAAGGACTGGCAATGGAGCTCAGCCTCAGTTTCCCTGCTCAGGTCTCCACCTGACTCCTGCAGCCTCCACAGGGAGAAGCTCCAGCAGGACAAGGCCCCCAGTGTGCAGCACCCCTGTATGTCGCCCTGCCTTCACACACCTACAAAGACACATGCACACTGACACGCACCCACACGCATGCTCTGCTCTATCTACGCTGCTTCATTGCCTTGATGAGCTCCTCTAGCTTCAGGGCAAGGTGCAGGTCGCCTTTCACCTGCAGCCTCCCGCTCATGTAGGCACTCAAGGGGCGCAGGTCACCCGAGAAGAGGTCCTGCAGGTCCTTCTCTGCCACCTCCAGAATGACATCAGGGATGCCCTCGGGCACGCCATGGCCAGCCCGTCCGCTGCCTGTAGGACACAATGGGTGGGAGAAGGATGAACAGAGGGCTTCAGAATCCAGCCTTGCCTGCTGGCATTCACCCCCACTGTTCCATAAGGATTCACTTGAGCCAGATGACAGACAAGGGCCTGGCAGTGCTCAAGGCCAGGTTGGACGGGGCTTGGAGCAACCTGGTCTAGTGGAAGGTGTCTTCCACTTGGGGGTTTGGAACTAGACGATCTTTAAAGTCCATTCCAACCCAAACCAGTCTGTGATTCTATGATTTTGAACACAGGAGTCCTTCCTCCTTATGAAGATAAATGTCTCTTGTGTTGCTCCACCCATGTTGTTACAGAGGTCTACCTCCAAGCCTTGTCCTACTTTTGCCATGGCCACCATGTTGGGGACGGATTAGGGTGCTGGGAGGACATCTTCCAGCACAGCAGTGGCCCAATGTGCTGCCCACTTCATGTCCCTCCACTGCTACCCCCTTAGGCTGGTGGCATCAATGGCTAAAAACCCCTGAGGTCTCTGAGCCATCCATCCCACTTTGCCAGCCACCAGGAAACCTGGCTGCCAATCTTCTCTCAATACTCTCTTTCTGCAGGAAAAATCATGGTTTTAATCCAAACCAAATTCTACTTTGGGCTTTCAGGGAGCAGGGACTCAAGGCCATGGTGGCCAAGCTGCAGTGCGCAGCTGATGGACCCTGGGGTGCCTCTCATGGAGCCACCAAATGGGCTTTGTTTGGGACCCCTTACCACCAAGCTTGGGAGTTCACAGCATGAAAACAGGGATCAGGCTCAACCACCCTCCCGCCTCCAGCACAGCAACCCCAGAGTAGTGACCTGAGGAGAGGTCTATGAAGTAGGTGCTCCAGGCGCCGCCGGGCAGGGCGATGTTGACCTGGTAGGATGCTCCCACCTGGCTGACCAGGGCCTCAGAGAGGATGGGTTCCACTGCTGAGAGCAGCTCATCTGTGCTGGGCTTCCTCTGGGCACTGCTGGCAAGGAGGGGAGCGGTGGGAGGCTCCATCTCATTCACTGTCTCCACGCTGTCTGCTGGGGACAATGGGACAGCAGAGGGTACACTGTGAGGTGGTGGGCTTTGCTGGTCTACATGGACCCACCATAAAAGGTCTCCGGAGTAAAGAAACCCACTTATCCACCACGTTTCCAGCTAAGCAAGAAGACAACCACTGGTTTTGCCATTTCCTATTGTCTGCCATGGTTTACTCTTCCTGTGCTACCAGGGGGTGGAAAATTATCCCTGAAAGAAATAGCAGGACACAAACTGGTGCAGGGTTTCTGGGAACAAAAACAGTAAACCCACACTGCCCTCAGTGGGACTCTTGGCAAGCTGAGGCTTGGGGATGCCTGATGGAAACACTGAGAACTGAGCTGGGCTTGAGCCCAGGCTCCTGCAGATCTGCTCCTGCCCTCCCCAGTGTCCTATAAGAAGGGTATGGAGCTGTGCCCGAAGCTATCCCTTCTCCTCCCCACTGTTTGTGCTCATAGGAGCATGATATCTCCCAGACTTTGACCTCTGTGCCAAACAGCCAATGGACACGGGGTCACCTGGCGGGAGGGACATCCCAAGCAGAGAAGCGGGTTGATTACCTGCCCCTGGAATGCTGGTCCCGTTGCCTGCCAGAGCCAGGGTGCTGCTGAAGAAGTGGGCAGCCAGCTGCTGAATGGTGCCATCCAGCCCGGGCACGGATGGCACAGCGGCCAGAGGGCTCTCCTGGGGTGGCTGCAGCACAGCCTCCATGCTCAGCTCCACACGGTCCACCTCCAGGCCCCAGGACTTGGTCATGTCATTGATCTCCAGCTGCAGAGCCGAGGAGAAAGGAGAAGGTGTTGGGAAGAGCCCACATAGCAGAGTTGGGTAAGGCCATGGAGAGCACCGGACCATAGCACACCAACCATGGGCATCCAATAGCTTATACTTCTGCTGTCCACCAGCTTTAGATGTGAGGTGTTGGACCAGGCTCAATAGTCCAGCTCCTCCAAGCTGCCCATGCTCACATTCAACTGTGCTTCCTCATTTGCTGTTCTGGCATGGAAGAGGTCAGGACAGGGAGGACAGCTCTGTCTTGTTCCCCGTTCCATAGCTCCCTCCCAGGCTGGCCCTTTCCTTGCTTCCCCTTGGGTAACACATCCTGGTATGGTGCCCCATATATAATAATAAATAGAATCCCTTGTAGACATTCAACACACAAGATCTTGGCCTGGTCCAGGTTGGCAGCAGGCACTACTCATCGCCCCTCTGCCAACACTGCCCGGCTGCCATCCCAGTTTGCAGCCCTCCAGGCTTCATATCTGCCTGGTGGAGAGATGAAGGTCAGATTTAAGCCTGCCAACACTACGTGGGCTTTTCTCTGTGGCCAAAAAGCCCTTACAGACAAGCCACAGAGCTCCACAGGCTGAAGATATCTGCTTCCCACTAATCACCATGTTTTCCCAGCTTCCTTCTTGGCCAGGTCCATGGCCAGATGGACTTGGAGCAGCTCCATCTTTCCCTTGCAGTTACTTTCACATCAAGAGCACAAGGCTTTGGGGCAGTCCTCACCAGTAGCTGCTCCCCAATCCTCAGCTTCTCCACCTGGATCTCACGGAGACTCTTCTTCATCAAGGTTTTGGTCATGGCATTCTGGGCCGTCATCCGGGTGGCCGCAATGAGGTCCTTCACCATCATGACAGACAACACGGGGTCCCACACGCGGAACTGGATGTCGGCACCCATGGAGATGATGGCCCCATCCTTGGAGGTCAGCTGGGACAGAGGGATCAGGATCTCTTCCCCTCTCTGCCCCACTGCCCAACCCTTGTGCACAGAGCCTGGGAGCAAAGGCATTCACTTCTTCCCTGGCTGGCAAGCAGCTCTAGGTCTCTTTAAGAAGGTTGTTAGAAATGAAACCAACTCAAATGATGAAGTTTGGGCTAGTCTGAATGGTGAGGACAGTTTCCAGCATGGGACTGTTACTGAAAGACAACTGGAAAGGACAGGGATGGATGTGTTTGAGATGCTTGCAGCCAGGAACACCCATTGAACAAAGTATGCAAAGTCAAAAGGAGCTTTTCAACTGCAGAGAGGTGAGGACTCTGCCTTCACAGCACCAGCTACAGTCCGAGGAGGAATCTGAAAGCTGGGTCCACGCATGGCACCAAGGGTCAGACCACCCCAAAATCCATGTGCTCTGGGTATTTTAGAGGTGTCTCCCCATCCTGCCCTGAAGCCTGAGGCAGCTTACCTTGCAGGGGGGCACGTTGAAGGCCCTTGTCCTCAGATCCACTCGCTGCCAGTGGTCGATGAAGGGCAGCAGCAGGACCATGCCAGGTCCCTGCGGTGCCCGGATGCGGCCCAGGCGGAAGATGATCATTCGCTCGTAGGTGGGCACAATCTACAATGGGAGAGCTTAGAGCAGGGCTGAAGCAAAACCCTGGGTCCTGCGGTGCCAAAGGCACCAGGGCCAGCTGGGAGCAGTCCTCCCTATGGAGGATGGGTTGTCTTCCCATTCCTCCCCTGCCTTCCTCCCTTACCTTCAAGGCAAACCAGCCTGAGATGGGGAAGGTGACAACCATCAGCAAGAAGACTAAGGAGGTGATAATCCCATGGCAGATCCAGGACAGCCAACCCTGGGAGGACTCTGCAGTGGGGTGAAAGGGAGAGGTACCTGCTCCAAACCACCCTGCCCTGCCCACAAACCCCCAACCCAAGCCTCTCCCCCATGTACCCCAGGGAAGTGCAGGGGACACCCTAACAGCAAAAGTGGCAATAGGGAGAGAAGCAGCAACACCCCTCCTGAGGCTGGCACTCACCTATGGTATTCCCGGCTGGCCCCAGAGGGTCTTGCTTGGATCCAAAGGAGAAGAAGCCCTTCTGGGCACTGTAGAGCCCAATGCTGGACTGCTGGAAGCGGTCAAAGTCTCCCAAGGGAAGGGCCTGGTATCCTGACCGGCTGAACATGGTGCGGGTGCTTTGCACGGGGTTGGTGCTCAGAGCCCCCTAAGCACAGCTCTGTGCTGCCAGCACGGTGGCCAGCATGGCTTCTGCCTGTCCCCAGCCCAATCCAGCGTCCCTGCCTGGCTGCCTGGAGACCTGGCGTGCTCCGGAGAGGATGTGACAAGCCCTGCTCTTATTACGGAGGATGCTGGCTAGAAGAAACCAAATCCTTCAGGAGCTTTCCTTGCCGGGGTCTCAGCCAGGCTGAGGCTTCCCATCTCCCTG